TCCCCAAAAAGATAACTTTTAAAAAAAAAAACCTAGCAAGTATGGACAGTCCGAGATTAAGATGATGCCACTCAAGATTCACCTTGATGTTGATGTGAAAACAACACACTTTCAGGAGAAACCATACTTTGAGTACCCATACAATCCTTCTGCTTTTTGCTTTCATTGCATTAGATAATTCAACACTATATATAAAATAGGCTTTGTGTTAGACAATTTTGCCCAACTGTCAGCTAATGTAAGTGTTCTGAACACATTTAAGGTAGGCTAGGCCAAGTTTTTATGTTTAGTAGGTTAGGCATATTACATGGGTTTTTGACTTATTACGATGAGCTTATTGGAATGTGACCCCAGACTAAATCAAGGAGCATCCATAGTAGGCTGTGAATTTAATTCAGCTCTAAATTTATAATACAGAGTATATACTATAGCTATTCTTATATGGAGTACAATGAACATTTTATCTTCTATTACCTAATTTAAATTACCTAAAACAACCTTAACTCACAGAGTTCATAACAGAAGATTACTTACAGCATACTCCCATAGAAAATTATTTTCCCCTTATTCTTTTGGTGAGTTTGCTTTGTTTTTCATTTTCCCGAATTTAATCTTCTTTCCTTATTCTCTTTCGGGCAAGGGGAGAAGAGATATGTCACAGTGACATCGATGTTGTCTCCTCAGGATGCTCAATTCACTCTTTATTTCTGATTTCTAGATGGAGACAAAATTACTTTTCCTGTCATTAATAAGTAGATTATTTATAATCCTATGCAAACCACAATAGAATGCATTAAATATAAAACCTATCTTCCTTGTTCTATTCACACAAACACACACACACACACACACACACACACACACACACTGAAGTATGTAAACAAGTTGTGTCATTTTCATTTTATTAATACACATACTGAAGTGAAGGAGGTAAAGTGATGATCATGATGATGAAACACTAATGAAAATCTACAGCCATAAAACACGAAGTGCTTTAGATTAAATGAGAAAAGTGACCTAACCCAATCTAACTATCAATTACATCTCTTTTCCTTTGCACAATGACACACTGACCCCTTTGATTACCTCTAATGCTTTGCCTCTGTCCAATTTCTACCTTACTCCAGTACAAAAGGGGAGGATAAATCCACAGCTAGATTATTTATCAAGGCTCATGTTCAATACTGGCATCTCTTATGGAAAGTTATATAAAAAATAATAGGACAGATTTGGATTTTGCTTCTGATTCAATCATTTAAAAAAAATTATCCTAAGCGTCAAGGCCTGCTTCTTAATATGAGAAAGAAGCCTACTGCAACCTTTCTGCAAAAACTAATATTCCCCAAATTTTTACAATGAATGGAATAAAAAGAAGAGAGACACACAGAGACATAAACAGGTTAATTTCATTATTACCAACACAACCTCTGCCATCAACACTACTATCCTGTTTTGCTTAAGATATTTAACGAGATATGTCAGGCATGAATTCATGTTGTTTTTTGTTAAAATTGTATGCATTTTGAGTGCCTAATAAATGTTTGGCAGAAGACTTACATAGTAGAAACTCAGTAAACGTTACTAAATGAAAAGAGAATTCACATTAGGTATAAACATTTTAGAAATTTCTTTCATAACAAGAATATTGAAGATTTACTCATATAGTTTTGAAAAATTTCTATGGTGTTAACAAATGACAGACAGAAGATAATTGCTTCACTTTTTGGAAATCACTTGACCATTTGTTTCTACTTACTTATTTTAGAGGCAGGGCAAAATATGAGACAGAAAAGGTTCAACTCTCTGTCATAAACTAATTTTATCAAAAATGATAATAATGATGATAGTAGCTAAGCACAGGTTGAATATCTCTGATCTGAAATGCTTGAGATCACAAGTGTTTTAATTTCATATTTGTTCAGATTATGGAACATTTTTAGTGAACATTCCTAATCCAAAAATATGAAATCCAAAAATATTAAATCCAAAAATCTCCAATGAGCATTTTTTGGAGTGTCATGTCTGTGCTCAAAAAGTTTTAGATTTTGGAACATTTTGAATTTCAAGTTTTTGAGTCAGGGATGCTCAATTTGTATGCATATTGTAAGAATTCGAAGTGTTTTCCATATGTGATTTATCTTGTTAAATGTTCATAATTATCAATTTCTGAGCTAGATGATTGATTAATTGCTAGGAAGAGATTTAGTGATTTATCCATGGTCATGTAAAAATTGTGGGCATGAGATTTTTTTTTAAAAAATGGAGTCTCCCTCTGTCACCAGGCTGGAGTGCAGTGACATGATCTCAGCTCACTGTAACTTCCAGCTCCCCGGTTCAAGGGATTCTCTTGCCTCAGTCTCCCAAGTAGCTGGGATTACAGGCATGTGCCACCATGCCCAGCTAATTTTTGCATTTGTAGTAAAGGTGAGGTTTGTGGGCATTAGATTTATACCTCATCGTCTAATTTCTGTGTCTTTTGTTTCATGTACCTCACAGATTCTCCTACTTATTGATATGGTGAGAAAAACTCTATCAATAGTCAAATATATAAATAAAATATTATATATAATAAAACACTACACAATAATGGTAACAGATTAACCACTATTATGTCTATATATCACGTGCAATTATCTATTAAATAAAACATTGTACAAAAGAAAGCAGACACAAAGGATGTGTACAATATTCTTTCACTTATGGAATGTTTAATTATAATCTAAGTTATTAGAATTCAGGTTACCTTTGGGCATAAGAGACAATGACAGGAGGGAGTACAACATGGAGCTTTTGGAGAAGTGAGTATGTTCTGACTCTTGAATAAGTTTCTGTCTTTACAGGTGTCTTCTTTTTGTGACATGGCTGCTCATCTGTCCACTTAAGAAGTACGGGATTTTCTGAATGTAGGCTATAATTCAATAAAGTTTTATTAAAATGACAAATGCTAAAAAGCAAGATTGATAACAGGCGATTAACTGCCATTTTCAAAACATAACGAAAAGTAGACTATAGGAAAAAAAAAACAAATATTCACTGTGCAAATCTTAAGTTTTTAAGCCCTTATAGAAATACATAGTATTTACTTGGAGTAAATATTCTGTTTTCTAAGAAATCCATGTGCTGTTTATTTGAAGAAGGAAAATATTTTATTGTAACAGAGTTACTTTATTAGACTTTTAGTGCTCCCAAATAATAAAAGTCACTGAAAGAAGTAATATTTAATGTAGCAATTATTATTTTTATGTATAACACTAAGAAAAAGCAGAGAAAACACATAATGTATGACATTTGGGTCAAAATAATTAGTCTATTTTAATGTCTTAATTATCTAAATATTGTTTAAAGGAAAATGCTAATTATTAATCTCACTTAAATTCACAATTGTTTTTACTTTTATTTTTCTTACAACATTTAAATCAGAATCTCAAAAAGAAGGTCAATGCCAAGTTATCAGAAGCTGAAGAAGTTTCTAAAGTTTATTCTCTATATATACCTATATAATTCATTATATCTTAACATATGCTTATGTTATACGGTTTTTCCTATCTTGGTCATTTTTGTTAATCTCGAAGTGCTTGGGAATGTCCAAAAGAAAGGAGCAGATTTTGATATGTGCAGATTGATTCACAGATACATGTGTTGAATGGGGGGACTGCTTTGTCTCGAGGAAAATATTATAAAAAATTATACAGTAATTTTACAGCTTAGATAAAATGAACAAATTCCTTAACAAAGAAAAACTTACTAAAAATGACCCCCAAAAGAAAGATAATATTTGAATATATCTCCATAAAATTACAATTTTGAATCTGTTATTAAAAACATGCATCTGAAAAAATTCTGGGCCAGAATGGCTTCACTGGTAAATTACATCAAACATTTCAGGAAGAAAAAAATGCCAAACTTGCAAAAATATTTTAAATAAATAGAATAGATACACCAGTAACACATGCACCATATAAAAGAACACTAGTTTATTTCTGTGAAAGGCAGAATAACCCGCCCCCACCCCACCAAAGATGCTCAGTGGCTAATTCCTGAAACTTCTAAAATCAGACTATGTGACAAAGAAAAATTAAGGTATTAGACAGAGTTAAGCTTGCTAATCACCTAAACTTAAATATTAAATAGGTTATGTTAGATTATCTGCATAGAATAACAATGGTCCTTGCAAGTAGGACAAGGAAGAAGGCAGAGAACAGAGAGATGGCAGAGTGAGAAGGACTCAGTCCAGTGTTCTTGGCCAATGAAGTATGACTTGCATAATTTGAGAGTCAGTATAGGAGTTGGTATTAACTGCGGGTCTTTTAAAAAAACTTTTAAGTTTAAGGGTACATATACAGGTTTATTACATAAGTAAACTTGTGCCATGGGAGTTTGTTTTGCAAATTATGTCATCACCCAGGTATTTAGCTTAGCACCCATTAGTTACTTTTCCTGAGCCTCTCCCTCCTTCCACCATCCACCCTTCTGTAGGCACTGTGGGTCATTTTTAAGCTTAAAACCTTTATTATTGGAAAAATAATAAAATAAGTGATAATCCAATTTTATATCGACGTAAATTCATGCTGTTTTAAACAAATCTGTTACCTTGCCTGGATTTAAACACTGTTAAAATTATGCACATCTTCACTGAATAAATCCAGTTAAAGACATTGGAAAATTACATAAATGTCTGTTGATTTCAGGGAGTATAACTTTAAAATGGTGGTATAAAAAAATGAATGATAGATTTAAGAAGGTAGACAGGGTGGATGGACAAGTAAAATCTTGATTGCATGGAGAAAAATATTGATATATTCTATCTTCACATCCTGTGGAAAGATCATTTGCACTGTGGTTCCAGTGGGAACTCTGGGGCAATTGTTTTAGTTCAGTCATACTCCAGGAGCTTGTTAGGAATGCAGATTCTCAGACTCTTCCCTCTCTTGAGAAGAAGAATGGTATTATAGTCAAGTAAGTTAAAATGACAGGGTTAGAATATATATGTACAGAATCAAAATCATTTTTATTTTATTTTTACTTCTCCCCAAACTCCTAAACAATATGTGCATCCCAATATGCTCTACATTACAGCCTATAAATATTCCTAAAATTTGTCAAATTGATTTTATTTCTGGGAGTTTATTTTTGGCTAAATTAATACAAATGGAGGGAAGACAAAAATAAGAAGTAACACATCACTGTAATACATAGATATTAAAAAGAATGAATTTTTAACACATAGAAGGTCAAATAAATGAGGGACATTCCCACCATGGATTAGAAATTATCTAACATATTATTACTATAAAATTTATAATAATGAAAATAGAGGTTATGATATAAAAATGAATAACAAAAAGGCATATATGTATTAGGATCACAATCAATCAAATGAACATTAAAAACTAAGCATATTTCAAAGGAACATTTCAAGAGTTTACTAAAAGCAGAGTTTATTCCTTTGCCAGTGGAACTGTGAGTCATTTAAAAATTTTGTTCAGTTGATAAATTTTTTCTAATATCTTTAGCCAGATATGCTAATTTTAAAATTAAATTAATTGGTAATAGTATTTTTTTAATATGAAGACACCAAAGCGTAAAATTGGGATTCCTTTTGCTGAATATGAATAAACATACATGCAATAAAATAGGGCAGGAGAAAAAATTCTAAGTTGTCCTAAATTCTATTACTGAAAATAGGACAATGAAACAAGAATTCTGACTTGCCCTAAATTCCCTCTGTTTTTGCTAAGTCAGCATTAGTAAGAGAGAAGGTGGCATTTTTGACATATAGTTCTGATTGTCACTCAGAGCTCAGTTACTGCCCACCAATGTGTAATTGAAGTTAACTCTTGGAGAGTCATTTTATCCTCTAGAACTGTAAATATGTAAAGAATTCTCTGTGAATACAGTAGAGAAAAGTGTGTGGAAGGGGAGGGATCAAGGGAGTTATTTAAAAATGTCTACAGCAATCTGTGATCCAGCTTCATCTTGGGTAGCAGAATGAAAGTAAGAAATGACTCTGTGTTCCAATTCTCTTACAAAAGGTATTGATTTCTAGACCTCTTTGATCAAAATCAATCTAGGCTCTCCCTGTTAATTTTGAATAGGCCAGATGGTAATTTAAATACAATGGAAATACGTGTGCCTAATATTTTTAACAAATTTTATCATACCACATTCATGAATTAAAATATTTGATATCAAATAAGATCAATTTATAGAATCATGACAAACACACTTACTTTGTTTAGCCTAAATAATGTATCTCAATTCTACATAATTTAAAATGGAGTTTTACACAAGATATCTTTCAAAGTTTATTACAGATAATTGAAAAACTTTGAAACACCAAACCAGCAACCCTAAGAGGCTCATTATTATAAATATACTACTATTCTGACTACTATCTCTAAGCAAAATCATAGTTAATTTAAAAAATGACAATAACAATACGAAATCAACATTCCCAATATTTTTACCATGTGCTTGTTTGCTTCTGAAGGAATCAATCATTCACCAAACATTACGAAGACAACTTTAAACTGCTATTCCTGTTTCTACTCTCACTCTCTACTCTTGGAAAGCCTTCAGTCAGGAAGGCCACTGACTTTGGGCACTGAGACATTTCCCCCACCCCATCCCCCCAAAAGGTAAGCAAGTTTTATTAAAACCTTCTACTCTTTATCCTTTGAAGTAATTATTTCCACTTTCTAAAATAATATCAGATAAAATCTCTTACTATTCAGTTGTCACAAGTATTTCATATATATAGTTTTAAAACTTCAGCATTCTCAGATGCTGAAGAGGATGTGGAGAAATAGGTATGACTTTACACTGTTGGTAGGAGTGTAAATTAGTTCAACCATTGTGGAAAACAGTGTGGCAATTCCTTGAGGATTTAGAACCAGAAATACTATTTGATCCAGCAATCCCATTACTGGGTATATATCCAAAGGATTACAAATTATTCTGCTATAAAGATACATACACAACATATGTTTACTGCAACACTGTTCACAATGGCAAAGACTTGGAACCAACCCAAATGCCCATCAACAATAGACTGGATAAAGAAAATGTGGCACATATACACCATGGATTACTATGCAGCCATAAAAAGGATGAGTTCATGTCTTTTGCAGGGAGATGGATGAAACTGGAAACCATCATTCTCAGCAAACTACCACAGGAACAGAAACCCAAACACCATATGTTCTCACTCATAAGTGGAAATTGAACAATGAGAACATGTGGACACAGAGAGGGGACCATCACACACTGGGGCCTATTAGGGGTTGGGGGTAGGGGACAGATAGCATTAAGAGAAATACCTAATGTAGATGACAGGTTGATGGGTGTAGCAAACCACCATGGCAGGTGTATACCTATGTAACAAACATGCAGATTCTGCACGTGTATCTCAGAGCTTAAAGTTTATTAATAATAATAACTCACAAAAGTTTTAGCATTCTCAGGTAAAAGAAAGTAACATAATATGAACCATAAACTTTTATTTCTTTTCATATGATTGATATAAAGTCATTGATTCCTAGAAAGGATTATTATAATTATTTTGTTTCTCTGCAGTATCAATTTATTGTATTAAAGAAAGAATGTGTTAAGTCCTTCAACCAAAGTAGAAACAGACTCAACCATCTGTAATATTCCTGAAAGAAGATGATTAATAGATATTTCTTGTACTGGAATGTGAAATCCAAGGTGGGAGGGATACTTCATCATCATTCTATATTCACATAAAACAGCGTTTGAACATTACTAGGTTCTTAATAAACTTAATATGTGGATGGTTTGGTGTTCTTGTTGAAGTTGTTCCTTGCAATGTGGAGTATAAAGTAAGCAAAATAAGTGATAAGGATGAAAAAGTTATTCTTTTTATTAAACTAATATCTCCTCATACTGTCTAATAATTGCTTTTGTTTCTGAGCATTAAAGCAAACCGTAAGTTGGCATCAATCATTCAGACAACAGCGAAAACTGCCTTCAGGTTATATCAGTCAGTATTTGTGAAGAGTTATCAGAAAATCAGTGACAGAATTAGTAGAGGTGGTGGTAGAGATTGATTACTATTGAAGGAAAGAGGGGCAGGAAGATTATTTTAAGAAGGAAGTTAATGGCTGGATAAAGATTGTTGAAGCAATATGCAATCTCAAAAGTATATATGAAGAGTTGTATGAAGAAAATTAAAAGAAATGCATCTATAATGCAAAAGGAAAACACTAGAGTGAAGGGCAGAGCAAAGGGCAAATCACACATTTTCTTTGGAAAATTATTGAGAGGTTAGGTAAGAAAAACTTTCATTTCCTTGTAGCAAATTTTTAATCTATAAATTCCAAATGTGCCAGTCATTTATCTGAACAACTTTTTATGCTAAGTTGCATTTGACATAACCCAACAAATGATGGGTTAAGACTTAAAATGGTGTTATTGTGTATTTGTAGAATGTGCAAACTTTGGTCCAAGATGCCTAAGCTATTTGAAGGTAAAATTACCTAAAGATTTTTCTTTAATTATTTTAATCAAAATCAACATTTACCTAAAAGATACAGTACCCCGGACATGTTTGGATTATTGTCCACTCTTTGAAAGATTATTTTAAATGAAAAACAAGACACTTCTCCTCAGTAGCCCCATATTTGTTTGATTTGATTTGAAGGGTTCTCTTTCATGGGTTCTTGCTGAGACTTTTTCATCGCAGAGCTGTGGGGCTTTGCCCTTAGCCATATAGTTACTTGCCCATCTTCACTTAATGGCACTCATAAAAATCGCTGAATCAGAGCGAATGGTCTGTGTTTCTCCAACTGCCCTAGTACTTACAGCTCTTGTTAGGGGCTCATTAGTTGCTATTGGGAACATTCGCTAAGGATCTGTAGCTTGGGTATTGAGCAAAAGCTTCTCCAAGGAGTTTTGTTTCTCTTTGTTTTTGCATTTTAAACAGTGTTGAGAAATGCTTCGGATATGATCTTGCCTTTGAAATAAAATTCTCTCGAGTTGTTTTAATATCTCTCACTGTGCAGCTTTCGGAAACTTTCAGACCCTGTATCTTTAAATGTCCTTTGTTCATCTTTGCAAGCATTATCCTTGCAATATTGAAAGTAAGATGGATCTGCTACTTTTGTAATAAAAACGAACCTACCAGACTTATTCATTAAGGTCAATATATTAAGTACACAGAGGACATAAGTACTTCTCACCGAGTTCCTTTTCACATATCAGCTGGGAACTTGATACTCATTTGAGTTGTGATTCATTAGCCATAGGGGTCTGTCACTTGCCAAGATCACAGACTCTTATAGCCAGAAGGAACTGTAAGAGGGTTAGAAATTTACATATTAGTACTCAGATGAGAAGCATAAATGCATCTTCTTGACTTTATATAACTGACCTATTTTGCTTTCTTGAGCAAGCATCCTGCTGTGTTACTAGGTATGGAAAAAAGATATTTTTAACATGTTAATTAAAAGCATTGTAGTTACTTTTGATTGTAAAATATGCTTTTCAAGTAACTCACCTTTTTATAGGTAAATGCTAAAATATTCAGTTTTCATCTTCTTAGTGCTCTTTCTGAAGGTAGTGTTTGGGTGTGCAGAGGCTGATGAGCTTCAGTGGTTTTTACAAAGGCATGTGTGGGCATGATGGAAATTAACCTGGAGTACAAATAGATAAAAACTGGCTTTGCGGTCCAGCATGGTTGGGCCAGACCCCAGCAATGCTTGTTGTACTGCTGTAATTATTAATAGTGATCTTGTTACTCAAAAAATGGTAAGGTTTAGACAATACAATGAATGGTCAGTCTAAACAGATGAGGATGCCAGAAGCTAGTAATGGTGACCACCGTCCATGGCAGAGCAGTTACTTTGTGTTTGATCTGATGGTCTGAAATCTAGTACATATATTATTTCATTTGGTTTGTTTATTCATCCAGCCAATATCTGGGCACTTTTCATGTGCCAGACACTCTCATAGGTCCCAGGAGATTTGTCATTAAACAAAACAGAAAAATCTCTGCTGTTGGGAAGCCTACATATTAGTGTTATTGATTTGTGGTCCACATTTTGAGAAACATGAAACAATTTAACATATTTTATAGATGATAATAAAAGCCCTCCAAAGTAGAATAACTTGTCCGAAGTCAAGTAACGGGTTGATGGCAATTCATAATTAGAATCCCAGTGAAACACAGTATTTTCTTGACACTTTCACAAGACTTGTGACGGGTGCACTGTTTACTCAGCCCACCCTGCTCAACCCCTCTTGGGGGATAGCGTGCCAGTGAACAAGTATGGGAACCAGCCAGCTGCTTCACTACTGTCAGGAGCAACTCTGCTCACTTGGGTCTGCTGCTCTCCACCCTATGTAGAAGGGAGTGTGTAGGTGAGTGAGTTCAGGAACTGGCCACTTTAGTGCCAGCAGGATCGAATTCCATGTAGGCCCCATAGCAGCCTCCAGGTGGGGGTGCCTATGACCCCAAGGTCCCAGAGGGCATGTTACAATGCTCTCTTAGCTTCACCAACCACAGACAGCAGTGTGTTATCAGCTCAATAGACCCTTTGCCTCATTGCATGGAGTGGCTGCCCTTTACCAGAGAGGGCAAAGGGTCAGTGTGACAGCCTTTTTGGGTACCTGCAGTTGACACATCCCAAATTCTTGTCTGGTGCCCCAGAGGAGTGAAGTCATACAGATGAACTGAAGGATGTTGAATGTGAAGAATTTTATTGAATGATGAAAGCAGTGCTCAGTGGAGAGGGGAGCTGGAAAGGGGAAGAGAAGGGTAGTTCACTCTCCCTTGAAGTCATGCCACCTCTTTGCCTCATCCAGCCGCCGTCTCTGAAGTCCAGGTGCCTCTCTCTGACATCTGGCTGCTTCTTCCTTATGTCCAGCCACTTCTCCCCTCTGCCAATTGAGCCTGGGGTCTTTATAGGCACAGGCTGGGGGCAGGGTGAGCCACAGGTAGTTTTGGAAAAGACAACATTTGATTGGTAAAAAACATTATTCAAATAGAACCAACTGGTAAAGAGCAGGCACACAGGGATAGAAGTTCTTACTTTGGATGATGGGTTTCAGGCTTTTTAGCACAAAGGTGGGGTTTTCTCAGGGACCCAACCCTATCTACCTAGAATTTCTGTCTCCTACCTCTATCATTGAATCACCAGTTTCCCAGAAAAAAATGGCTTAATATTCCATAATGGATTGACAGACTACCTTCTATGGGAAAAATCAGCCCACTGCCTGTTTTTATGAATAAAGTTTTGTTGGAACATAGCCAAGCCATTCATTTCTGTATTATCTACAGCTGCTTTCACCCCACAAAGGCAGAGAAAGGCACAGTTGAATAGTTGAATCAGGTAGCAAATGGCATGCAAAGTCTAAAATATTTACTGTAGAGTCCTTTGTAGAAAATGTTTGCTAATTCTTGTTCTGAAATATAGGCACCTCTGTTCCTGGCAATCTTATTTAAGTAGGTGAAACCTGACAACATAGGCTTGTAAGCACAGTCATTGACCATCTGTGTGGTCTTGAGCAAGTCAATTAACCTCTCTGAGATTTAATTCCCTCATCCATAAAATGGTGATGACAATTAGTGCATTGTTAGTAGTGAGGATTAAATTAAGAAATGTATGTATATAGCTGGTAAAAGAAGAGAAGGTAATTATTAACATTTCTAGCTGGATGGCTGCTCCATGAGCTGTCATCTGTAGAAGGTGAAGGCATGGGGTAAAATTTTTTCCTTTGTTTTTTGTGCCTTAAGAACCAACAGCTTCCTGGGAGTTTTTGCACATTATTTAATGTGAGGATTATATACAGTACTCAGGAGTGAGCAAGGAGTCTGGGCTGTAGTGGCCTCTCAGCTCAGCAAGAGACACTTTTGCTTATAAATTTGTAGATCACTACTATGAGACTTCGAAGCTGTGAGGTTGACTTAATGAAATGAGAGGAATGAGGAGCAATTACATTTCCATTAGGGGGACAACAATGCCCTTGATCAGGCTGCTGGAACGAAAGCATCCTCCTTCCTCTCAGGTATAATCGTAGAAACACAGCCCTGATTGATTCATTAAACATGGGTTTATTTTTGCCTCTGAAATCAGCTGTCTTTCAAGGTTACTCCATGATCACAAAGGACTACATTCCAATTTATAGTGGAATTGTTAAGCTGTGAAAGTATCTTGAGAGACTGGTTCTTAGTACCCATGAAATATAAACCAATCCTAAACAGCATTTGGAAATTCTGTGAGAGTCCCTTTGCCATTTGTAATACTGGAATTGAAAGAATCAAGACCATAGATTGCTACAATTTTGTCCAACTTCATCTAACTTATCAAATTAGTTAATACCTGTCCAACCCTTACTACATACTAATGTTTGTGCTAAGGGCTTTATAAACATTATCCTAATAAAAATTCATGGGCATCTTATGATGTAGGCACTATATTACACTTATTATATAGATCATGAAATAGATCTATAGAGTCTCAAAGATTAACGAGTTTGTTGTAGATTGCACAGCACTGAACTATAGAGGTGGAACTGAAGTACACACCAGGTATTCCTAAGTACGGAAAACATCCTCTGTCAGTACTTACACCTTGTTTCTAGGTTTGTACTTATGCCTGTTGAGGGCTCCTCTGTGAAAACTTCACTGACCACACTCAGATTTTGCTTCATGGCTAGCATATTTCTACCTACATCCAAAGATCTAGTGCCGTTATGCCTAGTAAGTGGATATTTACTGGTATATTTCTACCTACATTCAAAAGTCTACTGCTGTTATGCCACACACTTAAAGTAAGTGGACACGCCTCCACTTAAGATGACCAACAAAAATAAAAATTCTCCATCAAGGTTATTTCAAGTTTCCTCTTTTCCTTCTTTCTGCTCATTGTCTCTTGGGTTAATATAGTATAATTTTGGTACAAAACTGTTATTGGTATAAATTTTCTATTGTTTACTCAGGCTCTTACTAGGATATGAATCAGTCAATGTTTAGTGTATATTATTCATGTTTTTGGCATGTGGCAAAATGTTATACATGCAATATCTCATTTAGTCTTCACAATAATTCTGAATTAGATATTATCATATATATTTCAATGCAAAGAAGTGAACTTAGAGATATAAAATAATTTGGTCAAATCTATACCACTCCTAAAAGTAAAGCTATTATTCACACCAAAATTCATTAATTTCAAGGTTTGTATTATTTTAACATGTTTTCATAATTTACCTTGAGGGTCTATTTTTTGTCAGTTAAGGATATTCAGTCTTATTCTAAAATACTGAGTTCTGAAAAATACTGCTAATCACTTATTTCTAAGAGAAGGCTCATTCTTTGTCGTTCTGAATTTTCTGTCTGCCTTCATTCTTAGGCTGCTGCAATCTTTGGCTAATCTTCTTCCCTGTCTCTATACATCACTCTGTCCAGGTATGGTGAACTGTAGCCTTTTTATTTAGCTTCTCTTTGATGCTGGAAATACTAACTTGCAATGTAAGTCTTCATTTAAAATGCCTCCTTTAGAATCAAAGGATTCCTTTGATTCTGTGAATCACTACTTACTGTCCATTCTAGCTGCTATAATGCAATATGTTTTTGTTGTTGGTTTAAGTTTCCTTGTGTTAAGTAATTGATTCATTCTTTAAGCAAATTCTCACCAGAGTAGAGAAGCTTTGAAAAATGCTTAAACTTAGTTGTCTGCTGGTGGCAAGCCAAAGATTGTTTTATATTGAAGAAAAATAAGAGATAGAGAAAGCTCAGAAATAGCAGAGCTGGTGTAATATCCTTGTTAAAGACATAGAAATTGAGATCAACGAGATCTGGGTTTGGATTCCAATTTTCCTACTTAGGGAAAATATGGTCTTGGGGAATTATTTAACATTATTAAGTCCTATTTCTAGTATTTGAAAATAGGTCATGTGCATTCTTTTTTTTTTTTTTTTTTTTTTTTTTTAGAAGGAGTCTCACTCTGTTGCCCAGGCTGGAGTACAGTGGTGCCGTCTAGGCTCACCACAACTTCTGCCTCGTGGGTTCAAGTGATTCTCCTGCTTCAGCCTCCTGAATAGCTGAGATTACAAGTGTGTGCCACCATGCCCAGCTAATTTTTGTATGTTTAATAGACACAGGGTTTCACCATGTTGGCCATCCTCGTTTCTAACTCCTGACTTCAGGTAATCTGTCCGCCTCAGCCTACAAAAGTGCTGGGATTACAGGTGTGAGCCACCACACCTGGCCCTCATCTGCATATTTCACGGAGTTGCTTGTTTAGTCTGTACTTGTTGAGTGCCTACTACGTGTTGATGTTCTTGTGAAGATTGAATGGGATGGTTGGCATA